GAGAGGGAGGGGCAGGCAAGAGAGAAAAAGAAAAGGGTAGGGAGAAAGAGAGAGAGAGAGAGAGGAAGGAGGGGGAGGTATGAGAAGGCAAGAAAGAAAAAGAAAAAAGATAAAAGGAGAGGGGGTAGAGAGAAAGAGAGGGAGGGACAAGTAAGAAAGAAAAAGAGAAAAGATAAGGGGAGGGAGGGAGGAAAGGGATAAAGAGAAGGAAGGAAGGAAGGAAGGAAGGAAGGAAGGAAGGAAGGAAGGAAGGAAGGAAGGAAGGAAGGAAGGAAGGAAGGAAGGAAGGAGAAAGAGAGAAGGGCAAGAGAGAAAAATAAAAGGGTAGGGAGAAAGAGAGAGACAGAGAGAGAGGAAAGAAGGGGAGGGATGAGAAGGCAAGAGAGAAAAAGAAAAGGTAAAGGGAAGGAGGGAGGGAAAGAAGGAACTCAGTTCAAGATCAGAGATCCGCTCAGGACAACCTCAACCTATCTCATCCTAAATTGGGAATGAGATGAAGGCCCCCATCAGGGGTTTAAGGAGGAGAGGGAAGATTCCTTGGTTGTGGTTGTGCCATGGTCCGTGCAGATGCTGCACCCCAGATGGCTCTTGCTTTCAGTCTTCATCAGGTACCAGCCATAAATGAAGGCTTCCATCGTTTCTTCCCTTCCCCTTCAACATTTGCAGTAGGACTACCCTACAGCTCTACATTTTCCTTGTGAAGTGGTGGAAACAGGGGAGGGATTCCGCCGGTTTAACAACCGGTTCGGTGATCGCACGCGCATTCCATGTTTAAATAACCTCCAATACTTACATTCTACTGTAGTCCTTGCGAAGAAAACAGTTGAGGCATGGCAAACCGGTCGAAGCAGCCATGCTCTTTTAAAAAAGGGAATAAAGCACAGGAAAGAGCCGGGGTGGGCGCATGGGCCCACATGCTCGTCGCAGCGAACCACTTTACTGCCAGCTGATCTTCGAAGCAAAGGGGTTCACCCGAACCAATCCGAACTGGCAGAATCCCACCCCCTAGGTGTAAAACTCCGATTTCCCCATCCCCATGATGCTGCCGCACTACAATTCCCAGCAGCCTCCGGGACAAATGCGATTCAGCCAGACACCTGGGAGGGGCCACATGTGTAGCCAGCCAGCCAGTCAGGAAGTCCACCTATGTGCAACATTCCCGTTCCAAAGATGGTGCAGCAGCAATAAGGATGACTTTAAGGAAAGGACTGGCATCCAAGTGAAACTGTGACCAAGAGAAGAACTTGATAGACTGGAAGGGAGTTCCCCCTCTCCTCTTCCCCCCCCTCACCTGTTCCAGGTGTGATATGAGTTCCCTAGCCAGCATGGCTCCTTGTCTTAGATTCCTCAACAGGTTGCCAGCAAGAAGGGCTCCATGTTGGCTCTGAGTCACTAAAAGACTTGGAACCTTTTTCCTGAGTCACTGGCAATGGCATCTTCCAGTGACTCATGCCTGCTGCTTCCTGCCCATCTTCTAAGACACATACAGATTAACAGAGTTGGAAGGGACCTTGTAGGTCATCTAATCCACCCCACCACCAAGCAGGTGACCCTACACCATTTCTGACAAATGGCAGTCCAGTCTCTTCTTGAAAGCTTCCAGTGATGAAGCTCCCACAACTTCTGAAAAAAAAGCTGTTCCATAGGTTGATTGTTCTGTCAGAAAAATTTCTCCTTATTTCCAGGTTGAATCTCTCTTTGTTCAGTTTCCATCCATTATTATTCCTTGTCTGGCCTACAGGTGCTTTAGAAAATAGCTTGACCCCTTCCTCCTCTCTGTGTCAGCCCCTCAAATATTGGAAAGCTGCTCTCCTGTCTCCCCTGGTCCTTCTCTTCACTAGACTAGCCAGGCCCAGTTCCTGCAGCTGTTCATTGTATGTTTTAGCCTCCAGTCCCCTCATCATCCTGGTTGCTCTTCTCTGCACTCTTGCTAGAGTCTCAACATCTTTTTTACAGTGTGATGACCAAAACTGGATGCAGTACTAAATGTGGTCTTACTAAGGCTTTATAGAGTGGTATTAGTACCTCCCTTGATCTTGATTCTATCCCTCTGTTAATGCAATTTAGGATTGCATTGGCTTTTTTGGCTGCTGCTGCACACTGCTGGCTCATATTTAGCTGGTTGTCCACTAAGACTCCAAGATCCCTGTCACAGTTACTGCTATTAGTTGAGTTTGAGAGTTGGGCACCTAAACAAACCCAACCATTCCAGCTTCAATGTCAGGCAATGCAGAAGGTTAAAGCAGCAAACCCCTGCATGCAAATGGATTGAGCAACTCTGCTGAACTGTCCCGGAGAGCATGTGGCTCAAGTGTCTGCTCTAGAACAGTCCTGTCTGGGCTACAAGTCTCTGATTGGCCTTAGATGACAAGGAAGTCATGGTTTCTTCTCAAGTGCCATGTGTGAAGCTCAGGACTGGACAACCTTTACAGCCCAGAACTTCTAAAGTCAACCAACCAAATTTATCTCCACCTCTTTTGCAGGTTTCTACCTCAGGGTCATTGGGTCCCCTTTCTGCCCATAGTTCCATGCATGGTGCAGGTAAGTTCTACCAAGAATGGTCTATTGTTGTTGTTTGCTTTGTTGCATTTGTGTAAGCCTGGCTTCATTTTCTATCCTTATTTTCAAAACATTTGTACACTGCATCATCAAAAGAAACTGCCTGGAATTTTTCAGGCATTTTAGGCTTCTGAGAACGGTATCTCTCAATATCTTAGTAACCCCAGGTTCTGAGGTCTTCACTGATCTAGCGTTAAACGTCAGGGGCAGGAGCTGAAAATCCAGATGACAACTCTGATTGTATCGTCAAATCCTTGACTAATTAATTTTTCACATACAATTTCACTTAAGCCCAGTGATACAGTTGCAACCTCTTTCTTGATGCCATCCTACCTACACATTTTGCTACCTACACATTGTGAGATGGATGATGGATGGATCGATAGATGGATAGATGGATAGATGGGTTGATGGATGGATGGATGGATGGATGGATGGATGGATGGATGGAGAGATGGATGAATGGCCTCTGAAGTTAAAACAGCCACTATAACAGTCTTTGACTGCAGGACTTCAGAAATTATGAGGACACTAATATAGCAATTGTATTTTTCATGTGCAAAAAAAAGTGAGTACACACAGCCTGACATCTCTTGTGCTTCCTGATTTTTCTTAATGTTCTTCTCTACATCCTAGTGTCTTCTTCCTGTTCTCCTGGCCATGCCAGCCGGTCCTCATCACCCAGTGCAGGACTTCACACCAACAATCCCAACATGCCTCAGAGTAACTCTAAAGTAGCCATCAATTCATCCAGTTTCAACTCTTCTGGGTAAGGCTGCAGGGAGAGGATGGACGTTACTATTTTGTTATTCTGTGGGACAAGAGGATTCTGGGTATAAGACCAAGAGAGACAAGACGGATGAGTAGGAAACTTGCCAGTTGCTCCCAGGGAACACATCCAAGATAATGCCCAGTCCAATGCTTATTTCAAATTTATTTATTTATATTCCACTTTTATTATTTTTATAAACAACTCAAGGTGGCAAACGTATTTAATAGTCCTTCCTCCTCCTATTTTTCACACAACAATAACTCTGTAAGGTGGGTTAGGCTGCAAGAGGGTAGCTGGTCCAAGGTCACCCAACTTCATGTCTAAGGTAGGACTAGAACTCCCAATCTCCTGATGACTGGCCAAAAGTCACCCGTCTGGCTTTCATGTTTAAGGTGGAACTAAAACTCCCAGTCTCCTGGTGATTGACTCAAAGTCACCCAGCCAGCTTTCACATCTAAGATGGAA